CTGTGAGGGTAATTTAAAAACTGAGTTTTGTGGAAACTCATTTTTGAAGGGCACAGAGTTTTTGGACAGATTGCTTTCAGCAAAATAGAGTCAGCCACAGTAGCACACAATTCATAACTTTTAGACAATGTGATTTGTCTTTCCAATGAGTTGAAGGAAAGGCCAGTGAAGATATTTTAAAATAGAGAGCTGAAGTTACAGAAAGTGATTGCTTTTGGTCTTCAAATCAATTTAACAAAGTATGATGAGTACAAGGGAGAGGAAGAAAAATAGGAAAATACATAATGTTACACCAAACCATTTAGCTGTTTGAACAAACATAGAACGAACCTAGTGGTGTGATGTTTTGCTTTTCTTACTTGATGAGATATTATACTGATGAAAAAAAAAAAACTTGACATGAGTTTTGTCAAATTTATGATGGACTTTATTAACATCAGTGAATTTACTTCATTTTAATGACGAAAAAATAAGTATTCTTACAGTTTTGCTCATGGAAATATTTTACATCCGGATTTTTTTGAGAAACTATATTCCATTTAAAATTTTGATTTTGAACATTACATTTTAAGTTTAAACTGAGCTTTTTCTCTCCCTGTCTCTCTCACTCTCTTTTTCTCTCTCTCTCTCGGCATAGGGGAAAAATTTTAAAAGGATTCTAGTATTTTCTTCCAGAGTTTAGATATCTCTGAAATGCTTAGTGATAGTAACAAGGTTGCAGTCTTCACCAAGAGAGGAAAACCTAACAAAATGTGTGTGTGTGTGTGTTAAGATAGAATAAGAAATTTTCAAAGCAGTGAAAATGTATAATGGTGTGTAGGGGTGGAGAACCCGGAATTTAATTTGTAGAAGTGACTCAGCCCCAATGCTCTCCGACGTAGGAGGGCTTTAGAAGAGTCTCTGGTATTCATAACCTCAAAAATAAGAAAATTAATACAAACTCTCAAACTCCTGCCACTTCAAGGGATGAGGAAATATAAAACATAAAAATAAAATATCCGGACAGTACAGGGACATGTTATTCTGTGTCTTCATTTCTTAATTATTAACATAAAGTAAAAATTCCTGTTTTGTACTAAGCACCATGTTCGATGTGGTAAGAATTTTCAGCCATTGTGATCTGTATTTATTTTTGGTGCTGTCATCAGTAGGGACAGACTCTTTTTAGAAACATACATTTTAGAGCATCTTGAGTTTAAAAAGGCAGTTGGGAGTTGGGTTCACTGACATTGAGGTGCTTAACTCCTTGAGATGAGAACTAGAATGGCCTAGATGAAATGTTTTTGTATCCTTCTCAAAACTTTCAAAAGCATAAATAAATATATGATTTGACTTTCTATTTAGTCCATTAGTAGAAAAGAAGATGAAAGTTTGCTTTGAAGTTTAGAATCTTGTGCTAGATTTGTTCAAAATTTGGTGTGCAATAATTACCAAATGGATACTTCCCCGCATTATTCTTTCTATAGTATCTTATGTATATATATAAAAAGAAAAAGTCTACTAATAATGGCGGCAAGGGCAGTTCCTTCATTGCCTTCAATCGTTGGACAAGGATTTCTATAGCATCTTAACATGCCCCAAGCATATTAAGATAGAGGCATAGAATGATGTGGAAGACAGGCACATCCTTACGCTAATGGAGATTCTAGTTTAGGAGGGAAAACAGGCCAAAGATACAAAGGCCTAGAGGACACAGGAAAGGGACCTATGTTGGTGAAATGACATGAATTGGTGGAAACTGTGACAAACCAAAAAAGAGGATGTACTGACTGAAGTTCTTCAAGTTTAATGAAAAAAAAAATACTGTGTGGACCATGGAATGCATCTGTAGGCACTTTAGACCTATACAGCACTTGAAACCTCTACATTAAAAGAATAATTACACAAATGATTATGTAGGTGGAAATGAGAGAAGAACTATAAAGAATAGTGCAAGATGTCATGAGGAAGTGGCTCCTCACTATTATCCCTGAGGAAGTTACAATTTGTCAGTGACCTGAAAGCTCAGTAGGAGTGAGTTAGGCAGTGGGGGTTGGGGAGAGATTTAAGCTGAGGGAAACAGTAGAGAGAACAGGATATTTGAAGCTTTAATGTGAGAGATGGCAAAGTAGCAAGGGATGAGCTGAGTTTTAGGAGCCAGACAACGTAAGATTGAATGCGCTGTCTTGAGAATTTAAAACTCGTTCTAAAACTAATGGGAATTCATTAAAGGAATGTAAACATAGGAGTGATTTAATCATGTGTAAATGTTTATAGGAATACTCTGGTCAGAGTGTGTAGACTTAAAGAGAGAGGTTAAGACTGGATGTGACGGGAACTGTTGGGATGCTGTTGCAGGACTCCAGGTGAGATGGGTTGGGCTTGGATCAAGTGGTTGATGGTGGAAATGAGGAGACATTTTATCATTTGGGATTACGAGTAGCTGTGACTGACTGAAAATCCCATATTACAGTAGCTTGGACAGACAGATGTTTATTTCTCTCTGACATAATGGAAGTCTACACATAGTTTCTCTAGAATTAGATTGATAGTTTCACAATACCAGGGACCAGATCCTTCCATCTTTTTTTCAGCATGTGACTTCCAATTCCTGGTCCAAGATGGCTACTCTAATTCCAGCCATGTTGTTTTCATTACAGTCAACATTAATGATGAAGGGAGGAAAAGGGTATATCCCCTCCCTTTAAGGGCACTTCTAGAAATCACACATGACGATTTTAGTTACAGCTCATTGGAGAGAACTTAGTTGCATGGCCCCATGTGGTTGAAAAGTGCTGGGAAATAAAATGGCCATTCTAGGGAGGACAGGTCCAGTTGAAAACTCGGGGTTTTATGATGAAGGACAAAGGGAACAACGAACATTGGGGAAAAACTAGCGTCTTCTGCCACAGAAGTAGACAAAGCTGAGATATATTTTGAAGGCAAAATTAGCAGGATTTGATGATTGATTTAATGGGGGTGGGTACATGAGAACCAAAGAAGGAAAAAACCTGATTCCCACTTTTCTGACACAATGGGATAAGTGTAGTGCCTTTTTGAAAAATGAAGAAATAAAAGGAGGAACGAGTTTGAGGCAAGGAGCAAGAATTAATTAGCTGCTGGGAACTTGTCTACCCTGCCTTCAACATTAAAGGGAACCAATTGATGCTTTTTTCTTGCACCCTTCCAGAGATGTTCTATGCCCATATAAGCATGCAGGTGTCAATGTGTATATGATCTGTGTGTACACACACTCACACACACATGTACATGCACAAACAACTTTTATTTTATCTTTACAAAATGGTAGTGTTCAATCACACTATATACCTTGAATTTTTCACTTAATATATCTTGGAGACGTTTCCGTATAAATGTATGAAGAAGCACCTTATTATTTTTAACCATCTAGAATATTACATTGTATGGTTGTGCCATAATTTAAGCAGTCCCTAAGTTGTTTCTACCTTTTTCCTATTAAAAAAATGGTGCAATGTATGTCCTTACACATATGTCACTACGACATGCTTGAATATAACTGTGGGATAAATTCCTTTAAGTGAAATTGTTGGATTCAAAGCACATGCATTTAAAATTTTGATTTGCCTATTTCTCTTCATGGAGGTTTTAGCAACTTTTGCTCCCACCAGCAATATATCAGAGTGCCTGTTTTCTCAAATCCTTGCCAACTCAATGTGTTGAACTTTCTGATCTCTGCCAAACCTATAGATTAAAAACTGGTACTTGGATTTGGTTTCAATTTTCTTTTTTCTCACTATGAGTGAGATTGAACGCTCCATATGTTTAAAAATCAGTTTTATTTCCTTTTCTAAATATGTCTTCATTTTTGCTATCAGATTGTTAATCCTTTTCTTATTGATTTGAAGAAATTGGTGATATATTAAAGAGATTATCTGTTGTTTTGCAAATATTTTCCTCAGTTTATTGTTTCCTCACAGTAAATTCTTTTCTGTAAATTACATTTATTTAATTATAATTAATGTCTTTTTGTTATTATGCAGGTCCAATATAGGTACCTTCGACTTTACTTTCCTTTGCATAAATAATTTTACAAAAAATGTGCTCCAAGTGTGCATATTATTTAGCTATCTGCTTTTATTCTCACTTAATAATGAAATCTTTCTATGTCATTCAATATTTAAAAAATCGTTTTTAATGGTTGCATTATGATTTTGTCAACTGGAGGTACAATGATTTACTTAACTAACCCCCTTGCTTTCGGGTGTTTAGGTTATTTCCAATTTTTTAAAACTGATATAAGCTACACATCCCTGGTAATTTCATGAGGATAAAGTTCTCGAAAGAAAACTTGGAGGTGATAGCGCCAAAGTCGCTCCTGGCGCTTCAAGGCCTCCCGCAGCTCCGCCAATCTCCGCTGCGCGGAGTCCGGGGAGCTGGGGCCCGAGGCCGCGAGGACATCGGGGCCAAGCCGGCGGACGGCGGACACTCGGCCCCTCGGCATTCCAGCCGCTCGCGCCCATCGCAGCCGTTAAGGCCTTTGATCCGTTACCAAACCGCCATTTAGAAAGCCAGTCACGATTTGGACTCCCACCAGAAACCATTCAAATATTGCAGAAGGATTAGATCTTGTTTAGGTACTGATCTTGCAAATTATTTTATATAATACCAACTCCTCCTTTCTTCTATCTGCTCATTCTCCTGTTAGTGAATAAGAAGTGTGTTAGTAGTTCAGCTTATTTCTCAGGCTATTAAAAGGGGAGTGTGATTTAGCAAGAAAAGGAATGGACATTCCCCAAAGATAAAGTGACATATGGGACGTCATATCGTCTTTTGGGGAGAGGGTTAGGGTGTTTTCAGTTGTATCAGGAATAGCTGTATCATGTTAGTTGATGCAAGATTTTGCTATTGGAAGTTAAATGTGGTTAAAAGAGGTGAATAGGATGCCAATTTGACAAAAGGTGGGACAGTGCTGTCAACTGGCCTAAGCTGGAACTACATTTCCTTTATGATTCATGTTAACAGTTGGCCAACAGAGATACCTGTGCAAGATCTGGAAGGTGAGGGTGAAGTAGCAGCCATTATTCCCTGTAGGCAGTGGTTAGTGCAGGGAGGGACAGATGTAGGTCCTAGTGGGTTCTAGTTTGTCCTTGCTCTCTTCATTTTACCACAGCTCTTTTTCCTCCCGGCCTGCACTGCTGACCAACAGCAACCCTAAGTCAAGGGTCAGATGCAGAGGCAAGAACCTTCCATCTGAGTCCCATTCTTACAGCTAGATGAACTCTTCCTCCCATTTCCCTGCAGGTTCTGTGTTGCCCTCAGATGACTACTTTAGGAGAGCTAACTGTGGCTTTTCTCTGCTCCTCTACCTTCTATCTCCTGAGTCTGGACTTTCTTTCCTTCCCCAACTCCTCCCATCCTTGTGTAAGGTCTAATCCTATATGTTATTAGACCGTAAACTCTGGGAAGGTAGGTATAACGTCTGTCATGTTCACAGCTACAGCCCTGGTGCCTGGCACCTGGAAGACATTCAGTAAATATTTGTCGAATTAGTAAAGGACCTAATACATGTGGTTGCCCCACAGGAAACACACAATAAATGATAGCTCTTATCTTTATCCAGTACTCAGATGTCAAATATGAGGGTGTGGTCTGAGAAAGTAGGTACATGAGTAACTGTCTTTCATTATCTGGCTTATAAAGTTTATTAGGTAAAACGATTCTTTTAGTATTTTGGGCAGCATTTGAGGGTCTCCTGGGCCTCTAAACTCATGCCAGTCCCCGTGAAGTCCAAATTTACCTTGAGTACCACAGGCAGGGTGACCTTAAAAACTTTGGCTTGTGCCTCACTGCTCACTGATACGTTCATCATACCTCTTCTCCGTTTTTCCTGGATTTTTGTGTTCTTCAATATGCTACGGTCAGTAGAATTTTCTTTCCCTACTTCAGTAAAGTGGCATGGTCTTCTTTAAACACTCTTTCTTATACATAACTAAGTTTTTGATTCACGTCTGAGAGAAGAGCCATTTCATTTGCTTTTGTTTTGGTGAAGAGTATCTTTTCCATTTTCTTGTTTTCGTTTTTAAAATCGCACAGCTCAACCATCCATGGGTGAGTGTATGGCATTGTAGTACGGACATGTTGTCACTGGAAAGTTGTTACAGATTTAAAAGAATCCATTCTGAATTTTTTGGGAGGTAGTTTTCTAGGAATAGATTTTCAAATATCCTCCAGGTTTTTTATACACTCATATTTTACCTAACATATGCCATTTTGACAGGCCATAATAGTTGTTAACTCTATTGTTTAGCTCTTCCGTCAGTGTCTTATCATGGAGAACTCATACTTATGACCTATTTTATATTCTTCCACACCGTCTATAACATGTTGACTGTTCCTGGCATTTCTGTTTGATTAGATTTAGCATTTCTCAATTTCCTCATTTTCAGTCCTTCTCTTTCTGACGTATTTCTGTTCATCTCCATCATGTAAGAATCTCACTTTGGCCCTACAGTCCACTCAATCTCTTCACTGTCCCATGAGCATGTCTTTCATGGCTTCTAAGTGTTCTAACATGAAATTCAGTCATTTTTGTACTTCTCAAACTTTTGCAAATTTAATACATAAATGCTTAGAAAAATGGAAGATTCTTTGTGTAAGTATATTAACACTCCGCAATGCTTATAGTTCCTTTAAATTTCATTCAAGTCACATATGTTCTCCTGCATGAAGCCACAAAGTTATACGTCATAAAATGCAAGTCAGCACCCTGTTCCAATCTTCACCACCACTGGTTCTCACTCTCCAAAGGCAACAATTTTCCATCTCTTTTAACTGTTTCTTCTATTATTTACCTTCACATTTCTATAACATGTCTCTAATACTCTTTCTTAATTTTTCAATTTGTTTCTTTTTTGCTTCCTTTCTACTCTGGAAGATGAGGAGTTGGCTCTCTTACAACGAGGCACATATCCCCTTCTCCTATCTCCCTAATCCAGAAATATATATTTTATCATATCAATTTTCAGCGTTTATTTCACAATGTATTATACCTCCCTTAAATTTTGTTGAACTACATGCATAATACATGTGCACTGTAAAGAATTAAAAAACATATAAACAGAAAGAAGAAAGTAAGGTAGCCTGAAAGCTGCACCCTAAATTAACCCCCAATATTCGGGGGGCCTAGTGGACAAGGAGGCCAGAGGGTCAGTGTTTGGTGTGAGGACTCTCACTGGTTCACGTTTTCAGCACAGCCTCTCCACCCACAGGGGAGACCAGGGCCCTAAAGTCCAGAGCTCTGTTGAATTAACATCTCCAGAGAGTAAACCTCTGGTCTTCGGCCGGCCGTGGGGAGGGGAAGGCGCCTCTAACATCTGTACTCAGACTTCCAGCGACTCCCCTGAGTTTCCCACAGGGCCCCTGACGCCTCCCTTTCACCTGCGGCAGCAACGAGCTTGCTTATACTTCCGCCACCGCCGGCTTAGGTTTTGGCTTTCTCGTGTTTGCTAGAAAGTTACTGCTCATACATCCGCATTCTTGCTTCCAAAATTGTGCTGTTGTCTCCTTGCCACTTCTATTTATCCTTGGGGTTTGACCTTTCAACCTAATCCAGTTACTATTATTTTAGTGGAGTCATAGGAAGGAGGGGAGGCAAATGTCCGTGTTCATTTTTTGATGATTGGCGAGAATTACCCCATAAAATTCTTAAACACATTTTAATGCACTATTTAAGTCTAATCTGTGTCTAGAACCCTTGAGCAAAGTACCTGTTTAATGCGTGTGTGCGCCTGTGTGTATTGAGGATAAGAGGGCATCAGTGCTAGATTCAGATGCTTAGTTGAGCCTAATTTTATGCGATTACTATATATTTATTTAAATCACAAATTTAATCTTCCTTACTCATTTTCTCACATGTTATAAATAGCTTAAGTTTTAAAATCTATTATTTCTTTCACCCACTGACATTAAATCTATGTCAAAACAAGTTCCTTTCCAGGAAAAAATAGAACCTGTCTTGCTTGGAACTTAAAAACAATTTTTCAAAATACTGCAGGACCTCTTTCTTCTTTTTGTTAAACATGCCTATGTCCCACCTACACATTAGGAAAAACTAAACTTTAAAAACTATGGAAAAATTTAAAATATAAAATTTGTCATAGCTCTAGATATGAGGGTTATAAAAATAAATCTATAACATTTCACCTTTTATTACTCCATTTACTTATGATATTACTTAAAGTTTTCTCATATAAGACCATTTATGTCTGTAGGCCAAACTAATAACAAATGTTAACTGCCAATAATATTTAAATACATATATTTCGTGTTCTAGAATCTCTTGGGTACAAGTAACAGAAACTCACCTCAAACTAACTGAAACCCAAAAGGTAATTTATTTTTTTGAATACCTGGGAATTCTAAGAGTTTATTCAGCTCTAGTTACAGCTGGATCAAGGTGGCTATTAAAAGATATTGTCAGTGTTCTAGTATTTTCTCTCTGTCTCTCTCTCTCTCTCTATATGGATATTTATATTTATATATCTATATGTGTACATAGATATATCTAGGCCATGCAAACATTTTTTAAATAAAAATTTTATCATGTTATTCTTAATAATAGTCAAACAAATATCCAAATGAATGTTAACCATTTAAAGTAGTTTTCTCAGGAGGGTAAATCACTTAATAAAAGATGGGACATTTTTATAATTTTCCTTTTGGATTTTCCTTCTGGTAGTGTGGATTAGATCCACAGAAGGGAATCAGTCCGGTAATTTTATAATCATAGTACATTCACTGATCCCCACGGATATACTTTTTCTTATGGACATTTAATATTTTGGTCTGCTTAGCATCTGAAATCCCTTGTATGTTTGGTATTTTCCTAACCTAATAGTGGGATGCAGAGGCTGCCTCACCCAATGGGAGATAAAAATGCCAAACTCTTGCTTTCCTAGACTCCCTTGCAGGTAGGGCCTGGTCAAGTGACTTATTTGATTTGGAGTCAGGAAGCAGTGACTAAAAAAAATAGGGACTGGGGGCCTCCACTCAGATTGAGTTCTGAGGGCAGTAGAGAGAGCAAGGCCAGCGGTGGTACACAGTGTCCATTGCTAGAGAAATTAGTACAAGCCGTAGAGTCTTCTCCTTGCCAGTGGTGGTAGGGATGTCCACACTTGATGAGTTGTGCCATGTCGTAGTGGGCATTGATCCTGTGTTTCACAGACGCTGGCTCACCATCCATATTGTCAATTTTGTGATCTACCCAGTATCATTATCATAAATTCCTTTCTTGTTGAAATCAACCTGAGTTGGATTCTGTTGCTTGCAACTAAGACTCATGAATGCGTGGCCTTTCTCTTCCTCTGTCTCATCTCTCCTTTAGTTCCATGCTTAGTAACTTACATCTTATATTACTCCCTTTGGCCTCTGCTGCTTGAATCTTCTGATATCAGCTGGGAGAAGAGATTGGGAGAAGAGGATGGAAGACCATACTGAGCCTGAGAGGCAGAGAGAGCCCTGCTGGAGGTCCATCAGAAGTCAGGCCAGCTGACTGCTAATTCAGCAGGTACAAGCTGCCAGCCACAGGGACACACTCCTCTTCCCACCTTTGCTTCCATGACCCTGGTCCAATCTACCATCACCACTCCCCTGGGTTACGGCAATATTTCCTGTTGTCTACCTACTTCTGCCCTTGTTCCCCTAAACACTTTATCAATTAGGGATCCCGTTAAAGCATAAGTCAGCTTACGTCAGTTCTCTGTGAAAACTCTCCAGTGTCTCCCCCTTCCTCTCAGATTAAAAGTCTTTATAGAGGTCTAAAGGCTCCCCTCCCAAACATTCTTTTTACTATGTGTTTGGTCCCTATGAAAGACTAAGTGCAAGAGGGGATGCTGGGTGGTGAGGGACCACTTGCTGGGGTGCCCTGGCCCCCACCCTCTTTGGGAATAAAGCCATGCTCTCCTGGATGCCTCAGGGCATCCAGGCTGTTCCACAGGGAAGGAATAGGGAGTGGAAGGAGAGAGAGTCCTTGGTAGCAGTGGGAGCCTGGGTCAGGGTGTCGGGCAGGAGTGCTATCTTACTGAGGCTCCCTTGTGGGACTCAAGGGCTCAACCTGCTGCTGCGCCTGGACTGACAGCAGAGCTGGGGGGATGTTGGTGGTGGTGAATAGGGGCAGCATTACACCTCCCTCCCTGATTTCTCAAGAACAGAAAGAGCAGAGAAATAAATTGAAGGATGCGGCGACCACCACCAGCCAGCGCCCATAACCATCCATTCCTACACCAGCAGCGAGGGTAGGAGGCAGGTGCCATTTTGCCCCACCTGTCCCCCAGCCCAAGGATGGGTGACACTGTCAGGCTAGGGTGACAGAGAGATGAGGCAGCTGGGTGGGGTGGGACAAGGTCACTGTGGTGAAACCAGCTGGTGTCCAGATCAATGCCAACCAAGGGGAAGCCGTGGGGAGGACGGCGGGTTGGGGGTGCTTTCAGATACAGGCTGTCCTAGAATGGAGGATGCTCGTTGTCCCTGTCACCAGGGAGACAATAGCCTGGGGAGCCCAGAGGACCCTACTGGCCCTGAAGTCCCCCCCACACTCCCAGCCCTGGAGGGTGGTGGGGAGGCGATGGCACAGACTTGAGGAGGGGGACAAATGCCCCTAGCACAGCGCCTTGTGGAGCAATGCCCAGCTCTGGGGAAGGAGGGAGGGCAGAAGGCTCAGGGTGGGAGGAGGCCAGAGCCTCCGCCCATCACCTCTGCAGCTCCAGAGCAGACCAGCCCCACCTGCCAGGTGCCTGGGGTCAGGGGCAGGCCAGCCCTGGTGGTTTGCTTGGAGGGGAAAAAGGAGAAGAGAGGGAGAAGGGGAGGTGGGCCTGGGGAGGGTCTGACAGAACTCCACCACCCAGCCTGAGCAGGTTCCAGCCCCGAGCCACCCTCCCAGAAAACCCACAGCCACCCTCCCGGGAAACCCACAGATCCAGTCTGTCCCAACGGAGCAGGGAGGAAAGGTGGCCGCTGGCCAGCAGCCTCCAGTCTGCACCCGTGGAGCCTTCCCTTTTCACGAGAAACCTCTCCCATCGCCCTGCCTGCCTGGAGCCTCTGCCAAACCAAGAGATGGCGGCCGACCCCCGCTCCAGCGAGCTCTGAGTCATAGCCTCTGCCTGTCCTCACTGGAACTGTATTTGCTTGTCTTCCAGAGCCATCTGTCCTCCCTCACCAGGCGGAAGAGAAGACGGAGACGGCCAGGCAGAGAGCAGGGCTCCGGGGAAGCACCGGCCAGGCTGCGTTCGGCCCAGGCGGGCGAGCGCGGCCTCTCCTCTTGTCCCCAGGCGCTGGTTCTACTGGAGCGATGCTCCCGGAGGCCGTGGCGCTGGCCGGCCGGGGGGAGCCGCCCTGGCGTGTGCACGGCCCCACCGCGCGCGAGCCCCACTGCGGGGAGCCCCGCGTCTCCCGCATCATCGCCTGGGCTCGCGGAGCTGGGACCTTCATCCGCCACCTGAAGAGTAGGGAGCCGGCTTGGCCGCTGGAACGCCTTGGATTTTCTTATCCCTGCCTCCCTGCCCACCGCGCGAGGGAGGCGTGTCGTCCCTCTGTCTTTGCTTTCAGGTTCACTCAGGTTCCTTCCGGCAAACCTCAAACACAGACTTCTTCCTGTGGATTTGATCTTGAACTTCCTGAAGAAGCAACCAGTGGCCCATGCCAGCTGTAGCCATTGCCATAGGGAGAGGCTGGGGTCTCACCTTCGGGCAAAATCTCTGGGTCTAGCGCCAGTGTGGGCGGAGTTCCCGTTGGACCCCTGAGACTCCGCCACGGATGTTGACGTTGTGGCTAGAGGAGGCCACAGGGCCGGCTGGGGGCTGTGCTGGCCTCATCCTCGCAGGTGCCCTGCATGGGGTGCAGCCCAGAGGCCCACCTGGATTCCTGGTGCAGGTGGGGGAGACTGTGGCGGAAGCAGAAGCCATGGGGGACCCGGGCCCTGGCACGGTTAGGATGTCTGTGCCGCTCTGCTTGGAGGCCTGGCCAGGGCTGGCCCCCTCCCAGAGTGGGGAATTCCTGCTCTGATTTGTGCTGGTGGAGAGGTCGCTGTTGGCAGGGGGACAGGGGTGGTCTTCCCCTGCGGCTGGGTAGGGGGCTGGCAGGCATATGGGCTGTGCTGTGGCCCTGTCCCCTGATCCTCCTCAGGACCTGCGTGGCTCCTCTGAGTATTCTTAGGGTAGCAGTTAAAGGTGTGAATGGCGGGCTGCTGAAACTGTGCTGCTTGCGGTTGGCAGAGCCCTGTGCTGTTCCTCGGGGCTGGGGAAGGGGCGCTGCTGTTGTCAGGTCAGCTGAAGGCTGAGGCTTCGGGGTGGAGGGGGGCCCTCTCCTCGGATCAGGAGCAGGTATGTGGCCGGTACCTCATTGTATTTCTGGCCTATCAGTGAGTCCTGGATCTCTCTTTCCGTGTGTAACCCACGGACACCATGAATTCAGCCCGCGGCGGTCCTTGTAGTCAGGGAGTGGCTCCACGTTGGGCTTTAGTTCCTCATATTCATGACCCACAATAACTCATGGATCCTTCACTATTTGCTCTAGACTGCCTCTCTTGCTAGGATTGAGAATGAGAAATTTCTTAAGCAGATTTTCACATTCCATTGACTAGAAAGGAATGTGATGTATGCTGATCAGTACCCGCTCCCACAGCTCTGAGAAGTTCTCTCCATGGAAAGGCAGGAATCCATCAACCCGTGCATGTAGAATAACTTCCAGACTCCATATATCCACCAGGTCAGACATTGACCCTGGCAGAGTTCCCAGGCTGTATAAGGGGGACTGCCACAGAAGGTATCCAGCTTGTTGTAAAAGGTGAATTTGTTGCTGAAGCTGAAGTATGCAAGTTTGACATTCATGGCAGCATCCAAGAGCACCTTTCCTGCCTTTGTCTCTATGGACAATACGCTTCTGGTGACAGTTTGCACAGCAGACACCGTCTGGTGGAATTTGCCTTCAGCCTCTCGTCTTTCCTGCTGCCATGAGCCCTAGGGACTCAAACACCCCTCCTCCACCAGCGCCCCGCCTAACAAGGCAGAGAGTTTCCTCAGCCGCCGTCACTTCAGATACTTCACTATGTTGGGATGATCCAAGCCTTCACGATTCCTGCCTGTGGGACAGTCTCTGGACTGGAGGAGGCGAGTCTCCTTACTGACCTTCCCGGCTCTCGCTTCCCCAGTCAGGATGTGCTGCGCCCCCTTCAGCCCAGCCGTGACTCTCCCCAGTGGTCTCCCGAGACGCCGTCAGCATGAGCCTCTCGGCAGCGGTGGCTGAGGGGCCGCAGCGTGTTGGACTCACTGCCGCGCTTGGAGACGAGGAGGAACGGGTCTTTCTAAGGGAACCACAATGCCAGACAAAAAAGAAAAATAAATACCGACAAACTAAATTTTAAAATATTGAGTAAAAAGAATTTAAAAATAATAAAAGTAAAGATGAAAGAATAAAGAAATGAGAAAAAGAAAAGAAAAGAAAACCCCAACTACCAAAGTAACCCAAAATACCATGGAGGAAACAAGCTAGAGACTTGGTCAAAGTCCCTCAGGTCACTGAAAAGTAGCTTCCTGAGCTAGAAGGACTGATAACCTCGGCCCAGCCAGGGACTCGGAGTTCCCAAACAGCAGCTCCTCGTGAAGGGAGAGGAAGACACAGAACTCTCAGCAAGTGGTTTTCACAACAATCGATAACCCACAGGGATTTTCTCACTTTCTGGGCTCAAGTGAGACCCTTTACTCTTTTTAAAAAAAATTATTAAGGACCCCAGAGAGCTTTTTGTTTATGTGGGTTACAGTAATCAATATTTACCTTATTAGAAGTTAAAACCTGTGGGATGCCTCCGTGCCGTTTCATTTCTAGTTTGAAAAGTTGTAATTTTTGGCTTTTAAAGAGCTCATAATGCCTATACTTTAAATATTCAGTCCCTTTTCCCTTAAACTCTGAAAAATTGCTGTCAAAATGGTGCCAAACTTAACAGGTATCATGGTACTATACCAAAACGTTCTGTTGCATAAGACACAGTAAGTTACCTTGTCAACATCTGTAGTGCTAAGGGGAAGATAGCTGTCATATCTTCATTTTTTGTTTACAGTTTTGCCCCAGTTCTTAAGTGTTGATTCCTTCCTTCCAGAAGCTGGAGAACTCGCTATGTTAGTTTCAGTGTCTTTAACTGTAGAGGTTGCAGCTGTGAGCTGAGAAAAGCATGTCTTCTTCTCCTTTTTAAACCGACAATCCGTGCCCTGTGTCCCTCTTATTCAGCATGGGATGGGGGTAGGGGCATCTGGGTGTTGGACATGTCACTGGTACCTCAGAGGAGGGAACCAAGATATCCCTACATGATTTTAAAAATGTTTCCTTGAAGTATAATACAGATGGAGAAAAATGCACGAATCATCAGTGTGTCTCTTGGTGGCTGTTCACACATTGAACTCGTGGACTTAACCAGCATCCAGATCAAGAAACAAGATATTCCCAGCTCCCCCAAGTCCCCTCGGCCCCCCTTTCCAGTCATTTTCTCCTCCGCACTGGTGATCACCATTCTGTCTTGTGACAGCCTAAGTTAGTTTTGCTTGTTCTTGAACTTTACATAAATGGAATCGCACAGTATTAAATCCTTTGTGTCCACTTCCTTTGCTCACTATTTTTGTGAGATTCATCTATATTGTTTACTTTGTTATTCTGAATGCTGGGTAGTAACCTGTTTATCCATTTTGCTGTTACCAGGCATTTGGGAAGTTCTCGCTGTTCAGCGTTCAGTGCTCTGAACATTCTTGTTCCAGCCTTTGGTGGACATTTACATGGTTTTCTGTTGGATATATACCTAGAAATGGAATTGATTGCTTAAAGGTATGCATATTTTTGGTTTTAGTAGACACTGTTTGTGCCACTTAGCACACCCACCAGCAGTGGATGAGAGTTCTGTTTCCTCTCTGATACCTAGTATTGCCTGCCTCTTAATTTGAACCTTTCAGTGGGTGTGTAGTGGTGTAGCATTGTGGTTTTAATTTGCATTTCCCTGATGCCTAATGGAGTAGAACACCTTCTCATAAGCTTATTAGCTATTTCCTCTTCTGTGAAAAGTCTTATTCAGTCTTTTGCCCATTTTTTTCTGTTGAGTTGCCTGCATTTTTCTTATTGGTTTGTGGGTACACTTTATAGAGTTTGGTATGAATTCTTTGTTGGATATGGCCCTGCATGCATTTTCACTCTTCGCCACTCACCTCTGTTAACTCCTGATGCCAGCTCCTACTATTTTATCAATTGCTCATTCCTTTCCAGCCATTGGGCTGCTGCTTCCTCAAACATGCCCTGACGGGCACACTCCACCTCAGTGCTTTGCACTAGCTCCTACTTCTGCCTGGAATGTTCTTTCCCAAGAGATCCACATGGCCCCTCCCTACCTCCTTCAAGTATTTGCTTCCAGTGTCACCTTCTTAGTAAGGCCTTCCCTGATCTACCTATTTGGTCTTGTAAGACCTATCTGCCACCCCTATCCATTGGTTTCCTTCTTTTTTAAAAAACTTTGTGTTATGTAAATTTTTAAACATACACAAAACTATAAATATTAGTATAAAGGCCCTTCCTCACATTTTGGTCATCAACATCAGTAATTATCAGCATTTTTGCAATCTTATTTTATCCATAAATACCTCAGTCTGCATCTTTAATAGATGAATACCTGTTTTTGGAACACAGACATCATGCCATCATCAAGTCTAACAAAGTTAATAGGATCATATAATACCAGTCCATATTCAAATTTCCCAGTTGTCTCAAAGATGTCATGTTACAGTTGATATGTTTGAATAAAGGTCCAAACAAAGTGTACATGTTGCTTTTTTTTCCGCAGAAATATCAAAATATGTATTTTGCTTATTTACTAATTTTCTGTCCCTCTCCCGCATTAGAATATCTACTTCATGTGAGCAATGATTTTTGTCTGTTTTGTTATTTGCTATATCTCTAGCACCTAGAACAGTTCCTGGTACATAGAGGACATAAAATAAATGTTTGCAGAATGAATGAGTGAATGTAGTTGGCAACATGGATGTAATTAGCCCAAGGCGGGACTACGTCAACATGGTCAAATCTGTTACTTTCTGTCTCTAAAACTTTGGGCAACTTTTCTGAGCCTCGATTTTCTCATCTGTAAAATGGGATAGAC